CAGGTCCTCGCCCCCTGGGGGCATCTGGGCCCCTTTTCTGCCCTGTGCCGTCAGCTGTCTGGGTTGAAGACCACACCCCTACCCTCTCCACACCTCTCGGTGCCCTATGGGCCCCCTCCCTTGCATAGGCCGCCAGGCCCTCTGAGGGCTGCCCCGAAGCCTGGGGAACAGGCTCCGACGGGAGGGAGGCTTCCAGCCAGCCCCACAAATAGAAGCACATGGGGATCTGAGGGAGCTAGTGCGGGTGGCTAAGGTGGGGGACAGTGGAGATACACGAAGGCCCTGTGAACAGAGGTCACAGAGGTGGTGATGGGCCACACGGCAGGGTGGGAGGGCAGAGTGAGGGTGAGAGGCTGCACGAGAGAGAGACAGAGAGAATGACAACAAGAGAGGACACGGGGGCATGTGGCCATCAGGAGCCACAGATGTACCAAGCTGTCAGCCTGACATGCACGCACGTGTGCACACACACACACACACGGGGGCACAAACCCCCACACACGCAGACAGGCAGACAATACGCCACAGAGCCCCCGACAGAGCCAGCCCCTACCCCCCATCTTACACACACACACACACACACACACACACACACACACACAAGTGCCCTACCTAGTCCGACTTACACACAAAAACCACAGGCCAGGCCCCACACCAGTCTCTCACGCGCACACACATCCACGCACGGGCATGTCCCGCACTCGTCCAATCCCAGACCCGCTGGGCCTCAGCGGGGCTGCTCCCTCTGCCTCCGATCACATGCCCCCCACCTCCCACGAGGCTCAAATCCCACCGTCTCCAGAGGCTCCCCCACCACCCCTGCAGGACCCCAACCCTGCTCTGCTCTGCCTCTTCTCCGAGGCCCCGCTGCCTTCTCGGGGCTCCCTGACCGGGACGGGGCTCCTTGTTCATCGCCCCCGCCCAGTGGAGCAGCATCAGCCACACAAGGACAGGGACTCCGTCCCTTGTGCTCGCTGCTGTGTCCCCAGTGCCTAGAACAGGCCAGCACACAGGGGCCAGGGGTGTTTGCTGATTGTTGAAATGGATCAACAGGCCCAGGCCCCCTGCTGGCCCCACTTTCTCTCCTTCTTACTTATACACACACACACACGCACGCATGCACACATGTGCCCCCTTGCAGGTGACAGACTCCCAGTCATCGAGGGAGCCCATCTGCTCCTCCAGGGAGGCCAAACCTGTGCCCGAGATGAAGGCAGGGGCGGGAGGTGACAGGACACAGAGGAAGGGGCCAAGCGGCCGGACGCTGACTGTGTGGAGGGGGGGAAAGTGAGAAACAGAGAGAGAGGAGATGCGCACGCGCACACACGCAGCGTGGGGGGTGGGGTTGGCATTCTGCGGCTGGGGCAGCGGTTAGGTCAATGGTGCAGACGTCCAAGCGGCGATGATAAAAAGGCTGGTACCTGCTCGTTGGGACGGGGCAGGAGCAGGGCTTAGAGTGATCACAATAACTGGATGGGAAAAGGAAGAAAAAAAACAACACCACGATAAATCACAACAGAAACCACCGATCTGTCCAAAAGAAAAGAAATCAAATCATAACGAGGAGGAGGAGGGGGAAGGGCGAGGCACCGAACTGCAGAGATGGGGAGAAACCGACAGAGATGGGAGGACCGGGAGGATGGGATGGAGCTGACACAGACACAGATGCCTGGAGGGGGGCTCCTCAGGGGCCTGCCCGCCGTGGGCCTCGCCATGCCTCGCTCTGCACCTGGGACGGCCACCCGCTAAGGCACCCCAGGCCCTGCAGCCCACTGTCCCGTCCACGCTGGGGCTGGCGGTGGGGGGCAGCACGGCAAAGCCCAGGAGGGACCCTCCAGTCCTGGCCGGGCTTCCTGCCCCAGGTAGTGTCCAGGCCAGCATCGCCACCTCGGGGCTTTCTCTGGACCCCAACAGACCCCCCCCAAGAAGGAACCCACACTAACCCAGGTCAGAAAAGGGAGGGATGGAGAGTGGACCCTACACAGAGATGATGGGGGGCGGGAAGTGGTTTGGATACCCAAATATGGGGGTGTCCTCCCCCTCCCATCAGGATGACCCCCCCAAAGAGCTATATAAGCTACTTAGATTGGGTCACATCAGAAGGGATACAAAGGAGAGCACTTTACTGGGTCAAGAGAGACACAGAAAGCATGTGTGGGGGGCGCTGTTCATCAGGTCTGTGGGGACGGGGAAAATCAGATGCTCTCCAGCAGCGTGGATTTACGGAGGGGCTTCTGGAGACTAGATGAGCTCATGGGGATCCCAGGCCTGGTGTGGGTGTCAGAGGGACAGCTCTTGACTCCAAGTGACAAGATGACACAGAGGTAGGCCCTGAGATAGTGGGATCAGAAAGGAAGCACATGTGTGCTGGAATGCCTGGATATCATCACATGGGCCTCAGGTGTCCCCAGGCCAGGTGGGTGTGGAGGTGGGCATGTGGGGAAGGGGAAGTCACTAGAATCCAGGTGACCAAGTTGCCAGGCTGGGGGTTGGGTGTGTATTGTTGGAGGGATAAACAGAGTCACCAAGATGTTGCCAGAAAAATTAGAGAAACATGAGGCAGTCTGGTATATGTGCGTAGAGGGTGTGGAAGGGGGTTTGCTGAGCCCCCTGACAAGATCCCAGGCTGAGAAGGAGGGATCACGAAACACAGTCACAGAGAGGGAAGGGGAGAATCATCTGGTCAGAGGAATACGGGGGTTATATGCGGTCAAGTGACCTCAGGTGTCCCCAGGCCAGGTGTGCGCGTGTGTGAGTGTGAGCGGATCACCCGCTCAACCCGGATGACAAGGACCCAGGCGGGGAGAAGGGGTAGGGAACTCTTGACAATCACTGAGACGGCGAGAGTTGGATCATCTGGTCAAAAGGGATGCGGACGTGTTTGCGGGGAGCTGGAGGTGGTCATGGTGGCGTGGAGTAAGTGGGGCACGGCTAGAGCAGGTGACAGAGGCTCCGAGGATCACGGTGATGGGGGCGGGTCACAGGTGGGGGGCCTCGCCTAGGGGTAACCAGGCTTCAAGCGCCGTAAGTGGGAACCCCCAGGCCGGAGGAGGGCCGCCCGGAGCCCGCGGGCCCCACGCCCCCCGGGTCACCGTGACCCTCTCCCCGCGAGCCGACCGCGGGGGGGCTGGAGGAGGAGCAAGAGCGCCCCGGA